ATCAGAGCGATGGCGGGGGCGTGGGTGGGGGCGGCGCATCGGCGGCGACAGCGACGACGGCTCCATCCGACCCGTCGGCGGCTGGTTCCACGACCGCGACGGCGATACAGCAGCAGCAGCAGCCGCAGCAGCATCAACAAGCGCAAAAGAGCACCGGTACCACCTCGTCGCCCGCCCTACGCTTCTTTCAGATGCGCAGCGGATCCAGCCACAGCAACTCTTCGCGGTAGAAGACTCTGTCTCTCTCGCTTCTCCCTCTCTCTCTGTCCCTCGCGCTCTGTCTCTCGCGCTCTCTCGCGAATCTCGTCTCGTCCCGTCTCACTTCGTCTCGTCTCATCTCGTATACGCCAGCACATCGTCAAAGGGGCCAGTCGCGTCACCATCTAGCACTAATCCGCCGACCAACTCGACCCGATCGGGCTCTACCACACCAACCCCGACCCCAACCAACCGGTCGACCGATATCGTCACGCCACTTTCTGTAACATGTACCCGCGTCAGCGCGCACTGCCTCTGCACTGCTTCTGCCAGTCGTCCAACTCGCCTCGCCGCAGCGGGGAACTGGGCGACGGCGACGGCGACGGCGACGACGACGACGACACCAATCGTATACCTCGCTCGTCGTCTTCACGTGACGTCACGCCATGCTTTCCTCTCCTCCTCTCGACTCGATGGTCGATTCCTGTGATTCCAAACAAAGGTGATGGTGGAGCTGGAGGGTATCAAACGATTCCAAGACGGCGATGGCGGAGGGCCAAGGAGCTAGGCCTGCTGGCCGGGCTTGGCCTTCTGTGCCCATCCGACGAAGCTGGGCACGTCCTACGGTGGCGCAGTGGCGCAGTAGCGCGGTACAAACAGAAACAGGCGAGGGTCAGGTCAGCATCGGCCTGCATCGCTGCGTCGCTGCGACGCACCGCATCCGCAGCGCGATGCCATGACATCGTGTCCGGCTGACGTACCTCTGCAATCTTGCCGTTCATCGACATCTGCGGCGGCGACGGGCAACAGTGGGTGGCGAGCAAGGAGAGAAGGGACGCGCACGGTCAGGGTCAGGGCGGGGAGCGGCCTGGATGCCAAGATACGAGGGGGGGGGGGAAGTGGTCCGCCAGCTTACCTCTTGCAGGACGAGGGGGATCTTACCGCCCGCATCGGACTGGACCATCATGCTGGCGGTGAGAGTGACGGTGTCGGGGGGGGGAGCCAACAAAGGGCAGGTCAGTCAGGACGTGGACTTGGTCAGCCAGCATGACCTTCGACGCGCAATAGATCTGGAGCGACGACCGGCCGGGCGGGAGGGATCGACTCACAGCCACTCGACGCCGCCTTCGACCTCCCAGACGACCTCGACGCTGCCATAGGCACCGCGGACGAACTCGCCCTTGCGCTCGGGCTCATCGGGGTGCTCGACGGGCAGCTGGATGACGATAAACGAGCGCGCGCCCGCATCGCCCGCGTCAGCCGCCTGCGACGCGGCGAGGGCGGCGGGATCGAGGAGGCGGTCGACGGCGAGCTGCTGGTGCTGCTCGCTGAAGGGCTCGGCGTGGCGGGGCAGGTCGAGCATGAGCTGGAGCTGCAAAAAGTCGCGATTGCCGACCAGGGCGGGCATCTGGTAGCTGTTGCGCCACACCTCGGCCTGCTTTTCCTTGATGGACTGCACGAGCTTGACGTCGATGACGTCGTGGATGTACTCGCGCTCCTTTGGCTGGTGGTCGACGAGCAGGCCGCCGCGGAAGTCGTCAAAGGTGAGTCCAGTGTCGGCCTCGTTGTGGATCTGAGATGGGCGAGCAGATGGCGGGGAGCGAGTCAGGTTCAGTTGTCGTCGAGAGCAACGCTCAGTGGACCGGGGCAAGGGGGCCAGGCAAGCCGGCGGGGCATGGCGGGGCAGAGAGAAGCTTACGCTATCGCGGAGGTGCCATCCGAGCTTGGCGGCTTTGCCCTGCATGTTGCTTGGTGCGCTCCTGGTGTTGACGGCCCCGCCGACGGCGGTGTGATACTGCTTGCCCTGCTTCCAGGCGCGCGACTGGCGGATCAGGCGAAAGGCCGCCTCGACGTGGCCGGCGAGGTAGCGGGCATAGTCGGGCGTGTCGGACGCGGGGATCGAGGATGCGGGACGGGCGAGGACCGAAATGGCGCACTCGTCGGGGAGCGACGACGACGATGGCATGGCGCTGTGAATGGGGGAGACGGTGGGGGATGGGGGAGATGGTGGCGGAGAGGAAGAGGAGAGGAGGAGCTTCAAAGGAGGTGAGTCTCGGCATCCGGCATACGCGAGCGGCTCCCCTCAAGAGGGTACTTACCATCATCGTCCCATCTCTGCCTCATCCCGCGGCCTCCACTTTGGCATCGTCAGGGGGCCGCCGGTTGGCAGCTGTCGAGTCGTCATCCACGGCGAGGGGGCGAAGGGGCGAGGCGCCGAGTCGCCCATTCAGGGTCTCACGCTTGTCCTTCACCTCCTTCGACGCCTCGTCCGGGGCTCAGCAGCCGCGTCGCGTCAGTCGGAACAACCCCACGGCCCAACCACCACCACCACCAACGACGACGACGACGACAACGACGGCCGCGATCCCACCATGAAGCGGCGACTCTCCGACGCCAACGACATCCCGTCCCCATCAACATCGAGGCCTCGCCACCATGACCGTCCGGACAACGCCGGGGATGACGATAAGCAGCTGCAACTCGCCCTCGACCTTTCGCGCAGGGACGCACAGCTCGAGCGCATGTCCGAGCAGGACCAGATCCAGGAGGCCATCCGCCAGTCGATGCTGCACCAAGAGGCGGCCGCGCCACCACCAATACCAGCCGCGCCCAACACTACCAGTCCTCGGCCGCCAAAAGCCGCCACCCCGCTGTCACCAGAGGCCAAACTCCAACCAATAGCAGCGTCCCGACCAATCGCCTCGTCGACCAAGATCGCCCCCCTCTTCGCCTCGCCAGCAAAGGCAAAGCCAAGGCTCGGCGACCACGGCGACGACGGAGACAGCAGAAGCAGCGCCGCAACGGCCGACGCCATCGACTGGGACCACACCCTCCTCTTCTCGCAGGAGCCAGGACGCACCATCAACCGCCTCGATGGCAGCCTCGACCTAGAGTACTGGCCCGGGTGGCTGCTATCCCATCCCGACCCGGACCGAGGCCGAAAGGTCCTCATGCGCTGGATGCTCAACAGCATCCAGTGGCACCGCGTCACCTACACCCGCCCCGGCGGCTTCACCGTGCGCACGCCGCGCTACACCACCACCTTTGGCCGCGACGAAACGGGCGCACCAGACAGCGCCTACGACAAGCCGCCCAAGCCCTTCCCCGCACCCCTCTTGAAGATCAAGTTGCAGGGTGAGCCAGCTTGCCGGATCACCGCCTGCAGCGCAATGGCTTCGACCGACCCTGACGGCCCCTTTTCTCTGCATCCCTCCTTCCGACGACAGTCGAGCGGCTGACGGGCGCCAGCTTCAACAGCGTCATCGTCAACTTCTACGCCGACGGCAACGACTCCATCTCCTACCACTCCGACGACGAGGCCTTCCTGGGACCCAACCCGACCATAGCATCGCGTGCGTAGAAGGCGGGAACCGCTCGAGACACGGCTTGCCCGATCCACGGAGGTCCTACTCACCGACGCGCTCTTGCTGACTGGCCCGGTCGCCGTGCGCTCGCCTGCTTGCCTGCCTGCCCGCCCGCCTTCTCGCCCAAAGTGACGCTCGGGAGTTCGCGCGACTTCTACATGCGCCGCAAAGCGCCCGCCGGCGTCGATGTGGCGCCGCCGACGAAGCCCTCGGGCTCCAAGGGGTCCGGACCCGCCGCCACGCGTCCGACGGAGAAGATGGTGCTCAACGATGGCGACCTGCTGGTGATGCGCGGCAAGACGCAGGCCGAGTGGGAGCACAGCGTGCCCAAGCGCGCCGGCAACGTCGGCGGGCGCATCAACCTCACCTTTCGCCGCTGCGTCAGCAAGAGGGGCACCGACAACTTTCTCCGCTACAACCGCGGAGGCGTCGGCGACACCTGGCGCTGGAACGGAACAAAGATGGTGCCGGGCAAGGGCGGCGTGTAATGGGCCAGGCGGTGGGAGGTCAAGGCGGTAAGGCTGGATGGCCAGATGGAGAGCGTTGGCTGGTAGATGGTGGCGCTGGTGGCCGGTTGGGATGGCAGCGAGTGGTGCTGGCGGTGGTGGCGAGGCTGAGGCACAGGCAGGACAGAGGCAGGCTTCCGCCGCCGGCGAGGCGAATGCAGGGCTGATCGAGACCTCGAAGCTCAAGCGGGCCGTTCTGCTCCAGCTTTGCCCGTTGCCTGGCCATTCCGAGCAGCCGTACGTCGAAGCGTGCAACCGCGCCTGCTGGCACGGTATGGACGGGGACGGGTCAGCAGCGCTCCACTCAGCCAAGTTCCAGGCCGGCAAGACGCACGCACGATGGGCGGGCTCAGCACCGACCGGGGGAGGCAAGAACGCGCGCGCCATTCGAGCGCCGCTCGCTCGCAGCCAGCCTGCCCCGTGGCGCTGCCTTTGACGCGCACCTGGGGGCGAGCGAGGCGTGAAACGGGCAGCGCCAGCAGACGGGCAGGCAAGCGGACAGGCAAGCAGGCAGCGCCACGGGGCAGGCAAGCTGAACAGCCGGCAGGTCCGTCGCAGCCTGCTAGCTCCAGCCATCGGCGCCCCACCTCGTCATCAGTCAGCCGACCTCGCCAGGGAACCACTCAGCCAAGGGCCCGGCCTGCCCCGACTCAGCCTCCCGCCCATCCGGCCTGGCCTGTCTGCCTGCCTGCCTGAGAGCAGCTCGCCGCGCATGCCGCACCGAGCCGGGCAGGGTAGGGTCGAAGGTGGCCCGCGCGATGTCGGCCTGCGTGGCGGGCAACGGATGCGAGACGTAGCCAGGCCGGCCACGCGCGCTCCGGTCCAGCGCGCCTGCCTGCTGCGGCGACGGATGGATCGCTGCCTTGCCTAGCCTGGCCAACCCGCCCGCCTGCTCGGCCACCTCGTTGTGCTTCTGGCCCGGCTGGCTGGCTTCCCTGGCCTAGCTGGCCAGCTGGCCTACCTGCTCGCCCCCGCTCGAGTTTGCGGGATCGATCTCCCGGCTGCTGAGTGAGCCTTGGCGCGACGTGGTGCCCGCGCGGCTAAGCAGGCCAGGCTGGGGTCACGCACGTCCCGGCCTAGCCAGCCTGCGTGGCGGCCTGCTCAGCAGCTGCTTGGCTAGGATGCACCGCAGCCAGCCAGCTGACCCGGCAAGGGCCAGCTCGACGTCCCGGATCGCATCAGAGCAAACAGGCAGGCAGGCAGGCAGGCAGGCAGGCAGGCAGGCAGGCAGGCAGTCGAGCTGGATCGATCGCTGCACCGCCACCGCGGCCAGCACCGCGGAGGCAGGCAGGCAGGCCAGGTGGCGGCGGTCCGCTTTGCCTCGCCTCGCCTCGCCACCGTGGCTCTGGCCGTTCGTCGGTCAAGGCTGGCCTGGAGGCGGCCTCTGCGCAATCGAGAGTCGCTCGCCGTGCTCGCCTGCCGTCTATAAGAACCGGCCGACCCCGAGCTGCCCCCCTGGCCGCCCCTTTTTCCCCTCCCTCGCCGTCCCATCCTCCATCCTGTCCTCCATCACCCTACCCTCACACCATCGACACCTCTAACCCATCCATCTTTCACACCGCCTTCGACTTCCAGCCTCTGCCACACACTACACTAGCCTGCCACCGCTATCCGACTCTCCCTTGTCGCCATCGCCACCATCCTCCACACGCCGTCAGCCAACGCCGTCGCCATGTCGTCGATGATGTCGGGCCTCAAGGGCGCCATTTCGAGCATGACGCACCTCGTCACGGGCAAGCTGTCCAAGGAGTTTGACGCCAAGGACGTGGTGGTCGTCAACCAGGCCGAGTCGCACTTCGGCGCGCACCTCGTCGGCTACCTGCTCCACCACAAGGTCAAGGTGCGCGCGGCGTGCAAGAGCCAGGAAAAGGCCGACGTGCTGCGCCACTCGTTCTGCGGCTACGCCGAGGCGCACGACCACCTCGAGATTGTCGTGTGCGCCGACCCCTGCGACGCGGCGACGTGCGACGCCATCATGGCCGGCGCCACGTACCTGATGCTCACCGTCTCGAGGAACCCGGGCTCGTTCCGCGGCGACGCCGAGCGCGACATGGTGGCGCCCTCGCTCGGCGGCACCCGCTGCCTCCTCGAGAGCGCCAGAAAGGCCGGCACCGTCAAGAGGGTCTGCCTCATCAGCGCCACGTACGCCCTCGGAGACGCCACCAAGGCCGGCCAGCACTTTACCGCGGTGAGTCGAGGCCCGGCGCCGACGACGGCGGCGGCAAGGGCAAGGGCGCCCGCCGCGTCGCGTCGCGTCGTGTCCGCCTCGCTGGCGTTCGCTTCACACCACTGATCCCCTAGCACCCTCGGCGCGATTGCTGCTCCTCCTCCGCTCGCTTCCAACGGCCTCGCACAGGACTCGTGGCTGGTGAGCAGAGCCGTTTCGGTCGCAGCCGCCTGCATCGCCGCACCGCGCCCTCGCACGATGGCTGACCGGGCCTCCTCTCTCCTCTTTGTCACCTCGCCCCGCCTTGCCCGTACCGCTCGTCGCAGAACGTCACGCGCGAGGAGGCCTGCAAGATGACCGACGTCCAGCACGTGTTTGCCGCCTGCAAGTGAGTCCGCCGGCGACGATGAGCGGCGACGGCGCTGGAGGCGACTGCGACTGCGACTGGCGGACGGCGCATCTGACACCGACTTCCCTCCTTTCGCGTCATCCTACCGCCCGCTCCCCTTCTTGCCCTCCCTCTCCAGCGCCCTCGGCGAAAAGGAAGCCTGGGACTGGTGGCGCGCGACGGGCGACAAGAAGCCGTTCCAGATGTCGGCGCTGCTGCTGTCGTACATTGTCGGCCCAGAGCTGCTGCCCGTTGGCCCGCGCGGCGCCAACAAGTTCGTCGTCGACGCCCTCACGGGAGGCGACGTCCACCCGCTGTACGGCGTGGGCTTTGTCGACGCCAGGGACGTGGCCAGGGCGGCGGCCGAGTGCCTGCTCGACGCGACGTGCGACGGCAAGCGCCACGTGCTCGAGGCGGGCCACTATTCGTACCAGGACGTGAGTCTCCTCAGCGGCCTGGCCCCGCATCCGCGGTGGCGGCGACGATGGCGAGCAGGCGATGACGGTGCTGACATCCATCCTTCTCCCCCTTGTTCGGCGGCGACGCTCGCCTGGCACAGATGTACGAGTGGGCCAAGCAGGTCGGAGACTTCCAGCTCAACCCGGCTCCCAGCATCGCCACTGCCAAGGTGAGGCCCTACGCCCGTCTCGTCGTCGTCCTCTCGTTGGGGCGTGCCACGCGGTCTTCGGACGCTGACGAGGTGCTCGCGCCTTTGCCCTTTGCCCTTGCCTCGCTCGCCTCGCTCTGCTCCTTCTACATCCGCCGTCGGCAGCCGCCCATGGAGGCTGCCAACACGTACGACAGCGCCCTGACGAGCTTCAAGATCCAGTACACGCCGATTGAGCAGTCGATCAAGGAGATGCTCAAGCAGGTGGCGGTCCACCAGCACCACCTCAAGCAGCAGCAGCAGCAGCAGCAGCAGACGGGCGCCGCGACCAAGTGAGCGAGCGCGGGAGCCGTGCTGGCTGCTCGGGCCTCTTTGCGCCGCTTCGATGCCCGCTGGCTCCGTGATCACTTGGTCTCTGAGGACGACTTCCTTTCCCACCTGGTGCGCTCGCCTGGTCTTGCGCCGTTCGCTTTTGTCCATCGTCTCCTTGGCCTCGTCGGCGCCGTCACCGCCGGCGAGGATCCCCTCCTCGACCTGATCGGCCGCCCTTTCGTTTGTAGTCCTTCCCTGTTCTGAATCGAGCAATCAACGCGGCCGGTCGATGCTTCGCCCATGACGTGGATTGCAGCCTGTTCGACGGCGCAAGGAGCGGCGGTACACGAGGCTCGAGCACCTGCGGACGGTGGTGGCGAGCGTCGGCGGTCGGAGGCTGTGTTTGGTGGCTTGGACCCTGTCTTTGCTGGCTTTCTTCTGGCCGCACGGGCCCATGCCAGCGAGCGGCAGCGTCACCTCGGCCCTCTTTCCTGCCTTGCCTCCGTCCTTGACCTCCCATGCATCCTCTCCTGTCACTTCCCTCGTCACCTCATCCACTCCTCGTCGGCCCTATAAGATGCTTGACGACGTCAACGACCGCGCCAACACCATTGCGGTGCTGCCGCTGCTCGAAACCAGCCGCCACCGCACCAGCGCCGCAATCTGGACCTCGACCGTCAACCTGATCCACGCCATCGTCCAGGGCGCACAGCCAGACGAGCCCATCGTCACCGGCTCTTCCGTCAAAAGACACGGTGACGACGACGACGACGACGAGGATGACGACGACGAGGATGACGATGGTGCCAGCTCGTTTGTCTACGCTGCCCCCGCCGCGCTCGCGTCCGACGGGTCAGCATCGGCAGCACCGCACCACCACCAGCAGCAGGACGGCATCTCGGTGGCCTGGCACATCTCGAACCGCTACTACGACGCCGATGTACAGGTCCGAGGCTTGAGGCCAGAAGAAGTGGCCTCCGTCGTGCAGTGTAGAAAGCCCCGCGGCCTGGGCAGCCAGAGGCGTCCCCAGGCCGGTACAGGCGACGTCTTTGATGCGCTCGCCCAGCAACGTGCTTCAGTCGAAGTCGGACCTTCTTCGTCGACGCCGATGCCCTCATCCGGCGAGGATGCCAACGACCGTCTGGCGCAAAGGCTGCGAGGTGTCCCGGCCCTCGTCCTCGTCGTCGACTCCTCCGCTTCCCTGTCGACCCACAAGAGGATCCTGGCTGGGCTTTCGGCCGTGGCGGATCCAGACCGAACAACAGGCGACGAGGACGAGGAGGGTGCGGGGATATCGGGCTTCGGCCTTGGCGTCTCGCTCGTTGTTGGCCTTCCGACACCTCGACCGCTCGACGTCGATGCCGACGCGGGGCAGGCTTCCACCTCTGGCCCCAAGGACCGAGGTCTGGCCGCATCTCGGGACGATCTCGTGGAGCTCTACGCCACCGACGGGTGGGAGTACGTCGATCTGGGCGTGGACGGCACTGGATCCGATTCATTCAGCGACGATGGAACCGACAGCGGAAGCGATGGCGAGGAAGGCCAGGAGGCCGAGGGCATCGAGAGGGTGCGCGAGGCCCTCATGACCCACCCCTGGCCCGGCCTCATGCGCAAGGACGAAGCACAGGGGCGCGCGATGCGCCGACTCGACCAAGAAGCAGACGGAGGCGCAACACTCTTCGCCCCATCGACTGGGCTTGCCACCGGCAGCTTTTCGGACTGGCGCCCTCGTCGTGACGAGGAGCGCGAGGCCGACGACGACGACAACGACGGCGCCGGATTCGAAGACGGTGCCGGGCTCAGAGCACCGTCGGACCCCTCTGTCGCACCGCGCTTTCCCTCGCTGGGCCTCGAGGAGCACGCGACGCCCGACGAGGTCGACGAGGCACTGGCTCGAGCGTTCCTTGCGCGCCTCGAGCACGGCTTCTCCTTGCACCCTGTGACGGGCGAGGGCGAGGGCGAGGGCGAGGGCGAGGGCGGGGCTGGGGCAGACGGCAAGATGGACCTGCCGCTACCCACGAACCCTCGCGCCTTGGAAGAGCTCGAGGCGTTCCTCGAGAGCGAGGATCCAGCCTGGCCCTCGTCTTCCTCCTCCTTCTCCGCCTCGGCCTCTGCAGCAAACGACCAGTCGGGATCCAAAACGGCGGCGGCGGCGGCGGCGGCGGGGGCAGTGCAACCGAACCCAGCTGGCCGTCGGCGGACGGCGCAGTCGGGAGGCACGTGGGGACGTTCGTCGATCCCACCCGCACCGACTGGTGAGCAGCAAGAGCAACAGCAGCAGCAGCAGCACGAGGCAGTAGTGGCGACGACGTTCGATGACGACTTTGACGATTTCGTCGCGGCCGCCACGCCTGCCGCTGCCCCTCCTCGATCTTCGGGTACCGACGTCGACGGCGGGCGGGGTGTCGGTCAAGCTTTGTCCGACTCGCGTTTCAGCGACGACTTTGACGACTTTGACGACTTCGACGACGGTGCACTCGGTCTGAATGCAGCGACGAGGCTGGATATGGGCCCGCTCGGCTTCGGAGGCTTCGATACGAACGCGATGGCGGCAGCGTCAGACGAGGAGGGCACACACGATCTCTCGGCCCAGTTCCGCACCCTCCAGATGCACGCCGAGAGGGTGAGGGCGATACCGGACCTGGAGCGACGGCGCAAAGAGGCCGCCCTCGTCGCCCTCGCTTTCAGCATGCAGATGGGCGGCGAGGAGGGCGGGGGCGGGATGCACTTCTGAGCGAGCCAGCACGCGCGGCAGCGGCTGCGAAAGCGCAGGAACACGAAGCGACGACTTGCATTCATCGACAAACGATACCGGATGGGCCCGGGTGTGGTCCCGGCCCAGCGGCAACTACCTTTGTCTTTCACACCATCAACGGCTTTCACTGGGCCTTGTTGAGCCTGGCCTCGGCCTCCTTGAAGTTGATGACCTGCCAGATGGCCTTGAAGTAGTCGGCCTTGACGTTCTGGTACTGGAGGTAGAAGGCGTGCTCCCAGGCGTCGACGCCGATCAGAGGGACGTGGGCTGCGATGCGGGGGGGAATAGGGGACATGTCGCGCGGCAGGGTGAAAGCTGTCAGCAGATGGGACGCGATGAGAGGAGGTTGGACGTCGTCGGGCTGGTCGCGGTGGCGGGCCACTCACAGAGCAGGGGGTCCTGGTTGGCGGTGGTGACAATGTCGAGCTTCTTTGTGGTGGGGTTGTAGCCGAGCCATCCCCAACCGCTGCCCTGGATGGCGGCGATCTGGCCGTTGAACTTCTGCTTGAGGCCGTCGAGGCTGCCAAAGTCGCGGTCGATGGCGTCCTTGAGCGGGCCGGCGGCGAGCTCGCCGCCGCCCTGCTTGGGGGGCGCGAGGTTCTGCCAGAAGAGGGTGTGGTTGATGTGGCCGCCGCCGTTGAAGTTGATGGCCTTCTGGACGGCGATGGCGGCCTTGACGTCGCGCTTGTGGAGCGCCTCGGAGAGCTGGTCCTCGGCCGTGTTGAGGCCGTTTACGTAGGTCTGGTGGTGCTTGCTGTGGTGCAGCTCCATGATCTGGCCCGAGATGGCGGGCTCAAGCGCCTGTCGTGGGGTCGTCGAGGAGGGGGTACAGTCGTGTGGACGGCGAAGGCGAGTTAGAGGCGACGGACAGTAGTGGCGGAGAAAGAGGCAAGGGGAGAGGAAGGCTCGGCGCTACTCACGCCATAGTCGTAGGGCAGGTCGGGCAGGGTGTGCTTGGAGCGGGCGCCGACGAGGGGCGCGGCGGCCTTGAAGCCCGTGGCGCGCAGGGGAGCCGAGGCGGCGGTGCGGGCAAGAGCGGTTCGGATCATGGTGACGATGTGTGTTGCGAAAGTTGGTGGGCAGCAGAGTAGTAGTAGTGGCAGGTAGAGCAAGAGTAGCAAGATGGGCTGGTGGTGAGGAGGGAAGGAGCTGGTGCGGACCAGCCGACGATGGCTAAGCTCTTCTCAGTCACATTCTGGCGCACCGGCCTCTCCGCTGTTGGCACGGGCGCGAGCGGCCGGGCGGGGCGGCGGTAGCCGGGGTGGCCGCAAAGGTCAGCCCCCCCAAGCAGGCGGATCAGGCCGGCCAGAGCGCAGCGCTGTCGAGCCCGAGCAGGCGGGCCAGCCTGAGGGCAACCTCCACACGCTCTTTCTCTTTGCGTCACAGGCAAGGGTTATAAGCGGCACCTCCGATCACTCTATCCGAGGCTCGGCCTTGGGCCCGCCTCTGTGCGCACGGACGCTGCTTTCTGGAAAAGTCGAGCAGCCAAAGAGGCCAGCAGGCAAGGGTCCAGCCACACCTTCTCGCGCCCCCACTCCCTCGGCCAGGCCACTCGACACCTTCGCCTCACCTTAGCACCTCGTATATCAACTCGGCCCCGCCCATTGCGGCCACTCGCGACGTCGCCTGTGTGGGCACCGCACCCGCTCGTCCGCTCGACGCCTCCGTCTCGCCCAAACACCGACCTCCCGACAATACCACCATGTCGCAGCCGTCGACCTCGACGCCCTCGACGCCCTCGACGCCCTACGAGCTGGCCAAGGCGTACAGCGCCCTGCCGCGCACCCAAAAGACGCCCAGCGGCAAGGTCGACAACCTTTGGGTGCTCTCCGTCCGAAAGGTGACGCTCGAGCCGCCAGGGCTCGTGCTCCACCTCGTCAACCCGGACAGCCGCTACGTCCACGTCGAAAAGCTGCCCGCCGCCATCGACGACGCCGACCAGCCGCAGCGCCTCGCCGTCCCCGTCGCACTCGCCCTCATGAAGGCCTTTGTCGAGGGCATGATGAACCCAAACACCCCCATCGCGCCGCACGATCGCCCCAAGCCGTTCGCACCCTGGTCCATGGCCATGCTCGACTCGGACCAGCAGCTCGCCAAGCTCGTCCAGCGGCAGCTCAAGGGGCTCGGCGTCGACAAGGACAAACGCACCTTTGACACCACCACGCCTCAGCACGCCAGCATCGCCGACCAGGTCTGGCACGACTTTTTCGAGAAGCTGTCGAATGCCGTCGAGCCCTAGTCGGCGTGCCATCGGGGATACGCCAACGAACATCGCCCTCGACCAGACGACTTTACATACGATCCCGCCGCTGCAGACTCTTTTCATCGATACCCGCGCACCTGCCCCGATCCGTGACCCCAAGCGGATCCGCACGCAGCGTTCCAAGGCAACTCGTCACCATCTCCGACCGTCACCAGGCCCTGCTTCTGCGCCTTTTAATCGCAGCCGCGTTGACTGCAACCCATCTTCCGCCTGAACAGACCCGGTCGTCTATCGTCCATCGACTCGTCCCCTCTGCTCACCGAATACCGACTCAGGCCGATCGCCCTCTTCCGCTGGAGATCGCTATCGTACCCCAAAGCAAGCACTATGGGCTCATCTGCGGCGAAGGTCCGACCCTGCCATGGGGTACGACAGTTTCGAGGGTCGACTGAGCGGCCGTCGGAAAGCTCCGTGCGTCCGCCGCCTTTCTCCCTGTCTCGGCAGCGAGCGAGCATGGCGAGCGGGGTCGCGCGGAGGGGGCGGAGACAAGATGCTGGTTTAAGCGGATCTCGCCGCCAATCAGGGGCAGTAGGGGCGCCCGAGAACGGCGGCTCTCGCCGTCGAGTTGCTAGGGTGCGGGGTCTCCGCACGAGGAGCGGCGGCGTCAGACGAGGGCAAGCCATACACATGTGCAGGCGTCGCCCCAGCATCAGTCGATGGATGCACGTCGTTTCACGGCCGATCATGCATACGAAGGCAGGGGAGGGGCCCCGGTTGGGCTGCGTGCGCGCAGGCCGACGTGCACCTACAGTTACCTGCTTGCTTGCGGTAGCATGGAATGGTGTTAGGCGTACGATGTTCGTCTCAAGAGGATCGTACGCACAACGAGGGAAAGCGCACAAAGATTGCCATGTTTGCGATGATGGACGAGGAGCAGGCAGGTGGTTTGCGTTCCAGCCCGAAACCACGGTACGGCTTTGGCGGCCACGAGCGACGTGCGACCGAAGATCGGCGTGCGGTATCGGGAGCCACCTCGAGCCGATTCCGCCTGCCAGCGCCGATCCGGCGCTTCCTGGTGGACGATGCGGCGGCGGTCGTGGCCGCAGCCAAGTCGGACCGCGGCTTGGACCCATCGGCCCGGCTGCGTTTGCCAAGGTCTGATCTCGACGTTCTGCCGCCTCGCCTGCCTGCCTGCCTGCTTGCGGCGTGCGTGCGTGCCTTCGGCATGAAGGGAAATTTTCCAGATGACGCAAATCGAGCCACGCAAGCAGGCCATGCATGCCAGCTCAGGCTTCTGACCTCGACCGACAAGCTTGCAAGCTTGCGCAAGCTGAAGCGGCGGCCCCCCCAAAAATTCTCCGCCCGCCCGTTCCGGCGTAAACGGCGAAATCCCGCTTCTCCCCTACCTGCCGACGTGCCTCGAAATCTCCGCAAGAAAAGATTCTTCGCCCCGGTACATACGCCGCTGCGTCGCTCGAGAGTCGGCCTTTTGCCGTCCACGGAGACACCTTTGCCCAACCCTCACGCTCAGCGACGACCAAGACGACGACGAAGCAAGCGTGCAACGAGCCACATGCCCAGGTGGATGTCTACGAAGGGATGGTCCGGTGTCGGTACGGTAGGTATGTACCGTGGCAGGGTGGGCAGAAAAACGACGCGTACGGTGACATCGGTCCAGGGAAGGCGCCGGCATCAGCGTTGGTTCACGTCCACGGGGCGAGCCCATGACCTCGTGGGGCGCTGCCAGGCTAGGCTAGGTCAGCTGAGCTCGCCAGGCTAAAGTTTTGTCGGCCCGTCGGGCCCGCTTCCGAACGTCTCGACGCCGCGTTTGGCTCCCGTATGGCCAAGCTCAAACCGTCGGACGGGGACAGCGTTGGCCACCCGTGCTTTCCGACTGCAGCGTCGTTGAGCTCCGGCGTACGTTATAGTACGTTGGTTCCTATGATTGTACGCATCGCCGCAGACCGGCAAGAAGAACGTCGGCGGAGATGCAGAACGGCACAGCTAGTCCTGACTCGACGTGAGCCAACCACCGACCGAGGAGGAAAAGGCTGCCCGGCGGCGATTTGCGACCGAGGCTGGCCGCTAAGATCAGAGGCAGAAGTCTACATCGCCTTTCGCACAACGAGACCATCACCGTCAACGACGCAACGTTGCGAGAACGATGCTCTAGATGCACGATCGTGCTATGTTTGTGTTGCGGACGACGAGGCGTGACGAGCCTGCGATGTATGTAGGGTTGCCGTGGAGCGGGCGAGGAGCGTCTTGCTCTTGCGTCAGAGCGGGCAGCGGCGCTACACAAGCTACATGGGCCTGCCTGAGAACCGAGCCGGTCGCTACCGTACCTCACCAAGCACGACGCCGCAACCACGTCACAGCGTCAGGTTCGAGGGCTGCGTGATGTCGCGCCGAGGAGTAGGGAGAGCTACGCAAGGCAGCGCCGACTTTTGCCGGCCGTCGACGTCCTACACTACCTCGGTGCTCTGCGCATGAAGCCTGCGGGCTGTAGGCAGGGTTCCCTTGGATGGTGCAGCGAGTGAAGCGAGACGGATTACCCCGGCCTCGAGGGAGCGCCACGCTTGCTTGCTTGCTTGCTTTCTTGGACGGATGAGCCGCTCTCCAGCCAAAAAGCAAGCTAAGGCGGCACGCTCGCAGGCAAGGTTGCGGTCCTAAGGCTACGGCCTGGCCGCTGCTGGTTGCTCGAGGTGCTGGCTCACCTGCCAAGCTTGGACCCAAGCCTCGTGCGCTTGCTTGGCCTGGCCCTCGGGGTGGAAGGCCGACGGTGGCAACTCGACGGCGGATGCAGATGGCTAGGTACCAAGCACGAAGTGGGTTCGCCTTGCCTGCTTGCTACCTAGATCCGGCGCAGCGGCCTCTGGCGACACCAGCCTCTCCACCTCTCGCGACTCGGCTCATAGATGCACAAAGAGGCCAGAAGCGCAGCAGGCCTGGCCCCGGGCCCCTCGAGCTCATCACACGCCAGGACGCTGGTGAACCCCTCGACCTCGCTCCTTCTGACTCGCCTGCTTTGCGCCTGCCCCCTCAAAAGACTTTCGTGCTAGCCTACACAGGCTGGCCTGCTGTCTCCATCCCCGCATTTCCATCTCGCCTTCTTCCTTCCTCGCCACCTTTCCACCATCTCCCTCTTCATCTCTTCCGTCTTCCTCGTACTAACGGACGGGGCCTGTCGCACCTCCGTACCTCTTGCTCCTTCTTCTGCTCCTGCTCCTGCTCCTTCTTGCTCCTTCTATCCGTCCCTCGCCCCGGCGCACCTCTGCACGTTCGCCATTGCTGCATCGTTCACCTTCGACTGCTAGCTCCAATCGGTCGGTCCCAAACGCTACTCTCTGCTCCGTCTCAACAATATCACACACCTTCGCAGCGCATCGCCACCATGAGCGACCACACAAGAACCGTCTCGCCGTCCCCCGAGCGGAAACCGATGCACGACGACCCCCGACGCATCGGCAGCTCGTTCCTCTTCCCCTCGGGCGAGAGGGCCAAGTCGTGGCAGGACAGCTACCTGTTTGAGCTGATCGGTCAGCGCAACACCGAGCAGTACGAGATCAACGAAAAGGGCCAGCAGACGGTCAAGGTCAGCGAGATCGACGAGGTCCGCGCCGAGCAGCCCCACGGCGAGGCCGCCATCCCAAAGACTCTTGGATGGAAGGGCGCCTTCTTCAACCAGGTCGCCTACGCCATCGCCCTCGGCATCCTCAGCATCCCAAAGGTGAGGCCGCGTCGCGCCGCTTCGCTTTGGCCCCAGCCGTCTGCAAAGCTCCCCGCTTCTAGGCCACGCTCAGTTGCTCACCTCGGCCATCTTCCTTCCATCTCTCCCGCTGCCACCAGGTCGCCGTCACGCTCGGGGTCGTCCCATTCCTGCTCCTCAGCTTCTTCTTCGCTTTTGTCTGCTGGTACACGGGACTGCAGTACTTCAACCTCAAGAGGCACTTCCCGGGCATCCAGAACCTCCAGGATGCCGGCAACCTCATGTTCGGTCCCATCGGTGGCAACTTCCTCGGATTCGCCCAGCTCATCTTCAGCATCTTCCTCCAGGGCAACCACGTGCTGCTCGGCGCCCAGGCCTTCTCGGTGCTCGGCTGGAACTCGTGCGCGATTGGCCTGGCGGCGACGTTTGCCGTCATCTCGTTCCTCTTTACGCTCCCGCGCTCCTACAAGCTGTTTGCGTTCCTGGCGTTTGCCTCGTTCACGTCCATCTTCACCGTCGTCATCATCGCCATGATCGCCAGCGGTGTCACTGGCCCCACCAACGCACCGCCCAACGCCCCGCCGCTCGTCATCAAGGCGTTTGGACCCCCGCCCGGCCTCGAGACCGACTTCCTGACCGGTGGGTAATATGTCCGCCTGCTCGCCGCTGGGACGTTGCGGTTCTTCGAAAGTCCTGGGCGGAATGCTGATCCTTGCCCCTCCTTCGTCGTCTTTCGCCCTCCTCCCCGCGCTTGACGCCACAGGCTTCCTCTACGTGCTCAACCTCTTCGTCAGCTTCGGCGCCATCCCGAGCTACCTGCCCATCATCTCCGAGATGCGCAACCCGCTCGACTTTAAGAAGAGCCTGACGGTGCTGGTGGCCGTGCAGCTGGTGCTCTACACCATTGTCGGCGGCGTCATCTACAGCAACCTGGGCCAGTACACGACCTCGCCCAGCCTCAACAGCCTCTCGCCGACGATGAGCAAGGTGGCGTACGGCATCGGTCTGCCCACGATCCTGATCGCCGGCTGCGAGAGCGGGCAGGTGGCGGCCAAGCACCTCTACGTCATGATCTTCCGCACGCGGCCCCGCCACATCCACGAGAGCACCAAGACGGGCTGGATCGCCTGGGTGCTTATCAACGTCTTCACCTGGACCATCGCCTTTATCCTGGCCGAGCTCATCCCCTTCTTTTCGTCGTTCCTCGGCCTCGAGGCGGCGCTCTTCTGGTCGCTCTTCACGGGCCTCTCGGCCGTCATGTGGCTCTACCTCAACCAGGGCCAGTGGGTGCTCACGTGGCGCAAGGTGGTGGGCCTGTCGATCGCGCTGCTCGTGGTGGCGGCCTCGGCGGTGCTCTGCGTCGCGGGCGTCTGGGCCTCGGCCATCTCGATCCGCGACTCGTACAACAGCGGCGTCGTGGGCAGCCCCTTTTCGTGCCAGGTGGGCAGCGCCTGACGAGCTGGCGCCTATCGGTTGCTCGCTCCTCTTGTTCGTCCCGCTTCCTCGTTTCCCGGCCATGTCCGACTTCCGCTGTGCTTTGTCTGGTTCCCGAGTAGATTTCTGCTTTCGTCTTGACCCGCCCCTCGGCGTCTCCGAGATCGATACGATAGTCGCAGTCGCTAGAAAAGAAAAGAAGGCATCACGATATCCTCAGCGCACGATTAATACGATGTAATGTTAAGACCACGAGCTACGCCTTGCCTGCCCTGTGCGTCAAAGGCAGTTGAAGAGGGAGGAAGGGAATGGCGGCGGTGGTGGTGGTGGTGCCATCGCAAGGGGCGAGCGGGACCAGACTGAGCCAAAGATGCGGGTGGCAGGGCCAGGGCCACCGGCCAGCGGGGAGAGGCGGCCTGCCTGGCCTGGCCTGGCCTGGCCTGGCCTGGCGAGGCGGAAGTCGGAAGTCGGACGCGACGCGCTCAGCCTCGAGTCGAAGCCAGATTTGAATTTGGCTCGACAGCGGAGCCTGCGCCTCCACCGGTTGGTGGTGGGGCCACCCACGGCCAAACAGCAGACACAGCGCGTCGACCGCCACGCTCCCTCCTTTCCCCACCGCACACGACCGCCCCTTTGCTCACTGGCCTAGCCTGGCCCAGCCTAGCCCAGCCTAGCCCACCATCACCACATCCACCTCCTTGACGTCGCCCACTTCCCAACTTCGACGGCCAGGGCGCGCCGCGACGCCTCCGCACCGACGACTGCGCCCTGACTCGACCAGCATGCATTGAGCCACCACCAAGCAGCTCCCCTCCAGTCATCGCGTTCCCGTCGCTGGCTGCCTATCGGTCTGTCGCACCGATGTCAGCCGTAGGCCGTCCAGAGGCCTCGACCAGGCTTCCTAGATACCAGGCTCAGCGGCCGGGGCCCCCTGGCATCGCCGTCGGCCTAGACCGGTCCTTCACGAGGCGACAGCAACAGGGGCCGACTTCCTACACTCCGCGTCGAGCACCTTCGTCCGGCTCTGCAGCCAATGTCTTCTCCGCACCGCCGTCTGCCATCAGAAGCAGAGAGGCACCGGTTCCACGCGACTCCGAGATACCCATCGATACCCGCCAAGAGCAGCAGGGCACGCCCAGGAGTTCGGCCGTTCCCCGCAACCAGCGGCAGTCGGCCGCGAGGCGGAGCGCTCCTGGCCGGAGGCTTTCCCGCCCCGAGGATACCGACGAAGATGGCGACTCGGAGGCCGACGAGCAGAGGCGCCTCGCTTTCGCCCGCCGACGTTCCGACCACCTCACGCTTCCGCGACAGAGGCAGAGCGCAGCGGGGCCAGCACGCTTCGATCTCAGCTCATCGTCCGAGGACGACGAGCTCGAAGTGCTTGACCAGCTCACGCCGCGCGTCAGCCGCATCCGAGCTGATCCACAAGGCAGCGCCAGACCAGACCCGCTGGCCCGCTTCCGGGCGAGGCAGTCGGGCCAGATGCCGTCTCGCAACTCGCTGCCTTCGTCGGCCTTGGCTGGCAGGCCGACGCCTCAAGCGCCTTCATCCGCGGGCACTGTCCCATCCTTTCGCCGTCGCAGCATGGCCAGCGCCGAAGTCGCCTCCGCAGCAACGGCCAGCGGGTCTCGAGGCGCTGCCAGCTTCACGACGGCCAACGAGCAACTGCAAAGGCCCCAGCAGGCTCGCCCCCAGGTCTCGTTCCGCGGCATCCGTGTCGACGAATCAGACGAGCTCAACACGTCGAGCGCGAACATGACGATGAGCAATCCCCGGCAGAGGCTCCGCCCTTCGCTCTCGGGCGTCGACGGTCGGCTCGATGTGCCCACGCTCGAGGAGCGCTGTGCCGTCCTCGTCATCAACGCCAAGGGCGTGCTCAGCTTCTACATGGACCTCCAGCAGCAGGGCTGGAAGGACGACTCGCTCAGCGAGATGATGCGCAACTGGACTCCGTTCGAGACCTACAAGATCAACCAGCTGCTGGCCGAGGGCCAGTACAACCACCACTTTATCGACGTCAACGAGGTCGTCCGATCGCTCCAGATCGACGCCGATCGGCAGCCCGAGGGCTTCCGCGAGGCCATGAACATGGCCAACTGCGCCACGTTTGTCCACTACGTCCACCAGCTGCCCGACAACCTCGAGGCTTACGGCGAGCTCGAAGACGGCCGCATCACCCCCGAGGTGCTCGCACGCGCGCCGCTCCGCAACATCAGCGAGCTCAACGACGCTCGGCGCATCTTTTTGCGCTGGCTCGTGCCTCCGGAATGGCCGCTAACGGACGAGGTGCTGATGCTGCTGCTCGACATGAGCACGCAGGTCTTCATCCACCGCCTCCAGCGTAACGTCGAGCGTGTGCGGGCGGGCACGCTCGACGAGGCCGAGGCCAAGGCCGTCACCGACAACAGCCTCAACGAGCTCTCGAGCGGCGACATTGTCCGCCACTCGCTGCAACGCGTCATGGCACAGAGGAACATGAGCAGCGCCGACATCGACCGCGCCGTCATGCGCTACGAGACCTTTGCCAACATCCGCCAGATTGACCTGCAGGACCTGCTGTACGACCACGTTGCCATGGCTCGCCGGTGGCCCTTCCTCGGCATGGTGTCGGACCTCACCAGCTACATCCGCGACGTCGTGCGCGAGGTCGACGCGGGCATGCACTCGACCAGCCTGGCCCAGATCATGAGTCGGCTCGAGCGCGAATCCACGCGCGGATCCTCGGACGTCGACGACGGTGCTGCCAAAGCTGGCGCTGCGACCGACGACAGCGACGCCGCAAGCACCGACGGCCAGGTATCCGGGTCCAGCGAGGGACCGGCCCAGTCCACCCCGAGAGCTCGTGCCGCCGTCCCCGCCGCCGCAAATCCGACCCGTGAGATCGACGCGGCTTTCAACTCTCAGTTTCCGCACTGGATGCAGGAGATGATTGAAGAGGCGGAAACGTCCCGCGGCAACCCGTCAGAGCAGGCCGCGCCCCCACAAGATGCCGGTGCCGCGTTCGTCGAGTCCCTCACCGAGTCTCAAAAGGCCGCTGCGATTGCCGAGCTGCTGCTGGAGGACGAGCGGTCCGCTTTCCCGGTGCCTTTTGCGGCCAACGTTCCTCCTTCAATCGAGCCGATCGAGCCCGGGTCAGACATGCAACGGCTCTTCGACGACGAACGAAGCAGCAGCGTCGACCTTGCCGTCCCCTCTAGCCCACCGCCCGCCTCGGCCCTCTTTCGCGGGCAGCTCAACTCGCGAGACGCCTCTGGAGGTCGCGTTCGCGACGGGCTCGCGACGCCCACGACACCCAATCGACGGACGGTCCAGGCGGCGTCGACGCGCACCAGTCGGCGCACCGCCCACGAGGAAAGGAGCGAGGGCCCAGGAAAGAACACCATCCGGCTCGACGAGGCCACCACGACGAGGGACGACGTCATCGACTCGCCCGCCAAGGAAAAGGCCGGCCGGCTCGGCTTCGACAGCCAGAACCGGCTCGTCCGCAAAGCGACCGACGCGCGCAGAGGCAGGATGCTCGACGGATCCGCGCTCGCGGTGCGCGAGTCCCGCTTCGATTCGCAGGGAGAAGACGAGGAGGACGTCTTCCTCGAAAAGGCCAAGACCACCAACAAGAGAAGGAAGAGAGACAAGGGCAAGCAGCGTGCCCAGCAGCCGCCCAGCGGCGCCGTTTCCGATGCACCCTCCGGGGTGGAAAATAAGCCGACCGCCCCCAAAAGAGCACCCTCCGGGGTGGAAAATAAGCCAGCCGGTTCGGAAGCACCCTCAGCGGTGGAAGGCAACAAGCAGACGAGATCGAGGACCAGGAGGCAAGCCACCGTCGACGCCATCGTCGAGGAGAGAGCGCCGTCCACGACGAGGAAGCTGCGTCCGAGGAAGGCGGACGACGCTGCGCCCAGGCGAAGCTCGAGGCGCACCCGCCAGGGTACGGACCCGGCTTCGGCTTCGGTGGCTGGCGCTGTCACGTCCACAGCGGCGACGGTGGCGCCGGCTGCCGGGACTCGCTCAAGGCGAACAAGATCGCAGACACGGTCAGAGGCGGCATCCGCTGCGGAGTCGGACGCCGGCATCGAGGGCAAGACTAAACCGCGGCCGTCGACCGTGCAAGAAGAGAGATCGCAGGTCGACGACGACGAGAACGGGGTCGAAGACACGGGCCGAGGCCGCAACGCTCGTGTCAGGTCACGGGCACGGGCGCAGGACCAGTACGCGGCCGACGACGGCATCATGGCGGCGGCGGCGGCGGCGGCTTCGAGCTCGAGGCTCGACCCCGTCAGGGAGCCTCCGGCCTTTGCGGGTGACGGCATGGCGGATCTCGTGTTTGACACGGGCGACGCCTCTCGCGACCAGGAGCTCGACTTTGCGGGCGACGACGATCCGGACATTTTGGCGCAGCGAGCGGCCCGAGACGCCGCCATCGCCCGACGCCGACCGAGGCCGGGCACCGAGGCGTTCCGCCTGCCCAAGTCGAGCGGCCTGCCAGCCCTGCAGGTGGCGCCGGCCAATGAGGTGGAAGGGTCGCGCGACGCCGCGAGGGTCGCCAACGTCCTCCGGTCGGGCCAGACGCCCAAGAAGCGGAGGCGCATCGGCCCGTATCGACCGGAGCGGCTCGGCTCGGCTCTCGGTCTGCGATCCGACCACGACGTCGATCAGGAGGCCGAGCCCCGGTCGACTCCAGCGCCGAGCGACGGCGAAGAGGTCGACGAGCTCCAATCGCCCGCACCACGATCGGCAGCCGCGGCAGCGGCGGCGCGGTCGCAGCGGACGACGCCGCGGCCCTCGCAGCAGCCGCAGCTGCGCGTCGAGCCCTACAAGCGCGCCAACCTCTACATCACCGGCGGCAACATGACGGGCCGGCAGCAGTGGACCGACGCCGAGACGCGGTGCCTGCTCGAGGCGCTGTACCAGATCGCCAGGTACAAGCGCCACAAGCCGCGCTTCCGCGTCTATGCCAAGGTGCTCCAGCTCCACGGCGTCAACGGCACGCGGAGCCGTACCCTGGCGCGGTGGAACAACGTCCAGCTCAAGGACAAGAGCCGCAACGAGCTGATCCGGATGAGGCGCGACAGGGAAAGGGTGAGTCGAGTCGGGTCGAAATGTCTGGACGGGCCATGTCTTCTGCTTTTCTGTTCTGGTGGGCGAGCCGGGCTGACGGTCGTCGTTCGCCCCTCTTTTCTCTCTCTCTCTCCCTTTCCTCCCCACCCCCCTGTGTCGTCTTGACGTCGTCCCCCTCAGATCCCGTACTGGAAGCGACTCCTCCACCCCAACCTGTGGGAGCCGAAACCCGTCCGGCCCAAAGGCGTCGTGGGCAACGGGCACGACATTGGCGAAGAGACCGAAGACATTCCCTCGGACGACGACGACGACGACGACGATGAAGACGACGACGACGATAGGGATGGCGGTGGCGGTGGAGGTGGCGAGGGCGGTGGCGATGGCGATGGCGATGGCGACGGCGATGGCGACGGCGACGGTGCTGGTGCCGGTGCGGGCGGAAACGACGGGGTTGAGACGAGGAGCTCGAGGGCGAGCCGGCAGCGCAGCACCTCTGCCGCGTCCCGTTCCGAGGCCGGCGGTGGGCGGGCTGACGACCAGGAGACCAAGGAGGAACCGGAGGCCTGACCTGACCTGACCTGACCTGACCTGACCTGACCTGACCTGACCTGACCTGACTATGCCGCGACCACGGCGGCTCTACAGCCGAGGTCCCCTGTAGAAGATACCTCGTGCATGCTCGCGGCACAAGAGCAGCCCGTCCGACGCCGCTTTGAAAGCATGCCACATCGGGGCGCCTCTACATCCCGACCGTCTACCGTCCAGAACGGCATCTCGTCGCGTGTCGCTTGTCGCTGTAGTAGACCGTCCGTGAAACGCCGCTCAGTGGTGCCTCCGCGCCCGAGCCTTTGCCACCCTCTTCCTCCGCGCCTCTGCCGCGCTGACAGCGGCATCCTCGGAGGCGGCGCCGACCGACGAAGGTGACCGGTCATAGTCGAGCTTGGACCTCTGCTCCTGATCGAGGATCTCGCGCATGGCGTCCATCCGGGACCCCTTGGGCGCGGCACGCGGCTGCGATGCCGACTTGGGCACGGCCGAGGGCGGCGTGGCCTCGGCCATCCTGGCGCGGAGGCCCTCGAGGAAGCCCGGCTCCTTTTTGGCGTACGGGTTGGGCTCGTGCTTGATGCGCACCGGGAACTTTACGGCGCGGCGGACGACGGGGATCTGCAGGACAAGCATCTGCAGCAGCGACCAGAGGTTGGTCGTGGCCCAGTAGACGAGGACGCCCTGTCGATGCGAGGGGTAGGCGAGGGAGCGGTGGATTTCAGTGCAGGAGAGAGAAGGGCAGGGCAGGGGCGTCAGGGACCAAGATCGCACGCGCGAAAAAGAGATAACGGCTCCGCACCGCAGTGGAGGCGGCGCGACTTACCGAGGGGAAGGTGGTGGCAAAGTAGCCAATGATGGGCATAAAGCCGCGGAAGACGTACTTGATCATCTTGGACTGGGCCTGATCCTGGGCGGCGCCGCCCGTGGTGCCCAGCTTGAAGCCGAGCTCGGCGACGGCGAGGGTGGCGGCGGTGCTGACGAGCGGGAGGAGGTAGGTGGGGTCCGGGCTGGAGAGGTCGACGGTCCAGAAGGGCCCGCCGATGTCGAAGCCGCTGGCGCCACTCTTTGCGATGCGCTCGAGGGCGAGGAAGAAGGAAAACATGAGGGGAAACTGGAAGAGGATGGGGGTGAAGCTCTTGAGCGGGTTGGCGTTGTTGTCGCGCATCAGGCGCTGCACCTCGGCGATGGCCTCCTGCATGGCGCGCTGGTCGCCCGAGGCCTTGTGGTGCTTGACGTCGTCCATGAGGGTCTTCATGCGCGGCGAAATGTTGCCGAGGCGGATGGCGTTCTTCTGGCCGGCAATGTTGATGGGCGCCAGCACGAGGCGGAGCGCCACGGTGGTGACGACAATGGTGCCCCACCAGGGCAGGCCGGTGTGGGTGCCGACAAAGTCGAGCAGCTGCGTCACCCAGCCGACGGGCGAGACCCAGTGGGCGAGGCCGAGCGACGAGAGCTCGCCCGCCTGGATGCCCGCGAAGCCGGTCGAGGCGAGCGTCTCGGAGACGGTGGCGGCGCTGGTGGGGTCGAGCGAGGTGGCGAGGTCCGACAGCGCACCCGTGGTGGTGTCGCTGCTGCTGCTGGCGCCGACATCGACGGCGGCCGCCGGTTCCGGGACGGTGTTGTGTGCGGCCGAGACAAACGAGTCGGCGGCGGGCTGCGGGGTGGCCGCCTGGTGGAGCTGTTGGGATGCGTGGGATGCGCCCTCCTTGACGTGGTCGATGGCAGCGTCGGCCTTGTGCTCGAGCGTGTCCTTGAGCTCAGTGGCCTTTTGCGCTGCCGAGTCGACGTCGCCGCCAGACTTGTTGCTGGAGAAGAGGGAGAGGTGGCGTGCTGATGCAGGCAGTGCTGATGGTGCGGCGGCGGCCGATGCGCCGCCGATGCACGCGCGGTGGAGGTGCCATGGTGCTGGGCCGGAGAGGAGGCGGGATGGGGATGGGCTCGTCAGCGGTGAGCGAGCGAATGTCGAGGAGCGGTAGGCGGCTGTGCTGGTGCTGAAGGCCGAAGTGCGGGCCCGGGTCGAGGAGCGCGGTGCGACGGGTGGCAGGCAGGGGGCTCGAAGGTTGGCGAGAGTGGCCGAGGGTGGTGCAAGGATGGGCCTGGACGCGCGCGCCACGAGGCGGGATGTTGTTGCAATCATGTCGGACAGGCGGACAAGCGGGCGGGCAGGCAGAGCAAGCAGGTGAGCAAGCAGCAGCGAGCGAGCAAAGATCGAGACAGTGGACGAGGTGGTGGAAGGAGGTGGGAGAGGTAGGGAGCAGCGAGAGAGGCCGATTTGGCGGCCCTTTGGCGTTTTTCTGCTGCGCGCCGATGGCCCGACTTCTTCCAGTCTTTGCGTCGCTCTCGGAACTCGGCTTGGCTCAGCAGCCTCAGCCTCCGCCCTCGCACCGTCGCCTGCCTGCTTCCTTGGCCCACCCTCGTCTGCTCGCAACCATCACCCCAAGCTCACATCCCGCCGCCATGCCGCCGCAGCGCAAACGCCTCAAGACAGCGACAGCGGCGCAGGCGGTTTCGGCGTCGGGCCATCGCCAGCCTCGCTCGTCGTCCACGGCGGCATCGCCCGCACCACCACCCGCACCGCCCTCTTCGTCCTCAACGACGACAACGACGACGACCCGCCCAGCTCGACCGGAAGCGCACCACGCCTCCCTTCCCAAGTCGCTCCGCCTGCTCCTCCGCGCCCTGCTGGCAAACCACGCCCGGCTGCTCGAAGAACACCGCCTGCTCGACAGGCTCTGGTACAAGGGTCGATCCCAGTTCCGCACCGCCACGTGGTGGAAGCACATCCACGCGCTGCGCCGCTGCCTCGTCTACCTCGTCGGCTCCCTCTCTTCCCTCGGGACAAACGAGGGCGCACTGCACCGCACCGCCGACGCCGTCATCGCCGCCCTGTGCTCCCTCTTCGATGCCGCCCCTCCCGCCAATGCAGCCAAGGGCCAGATCAGGACGGTACCCCACTTCTCGACGCCGGCTACACACCTCGATCGAGACGGCCCGACATCCCCTCGTCCCGACGCGTTCCTCGAGGCGGCGAGGGCGTCGCACAACCTCGCCCTCCTCCTCCACGAGACGCGCAAAAGGGCTAGGACCGCATACCGCGTCGCCGCGGTTCACCTGCGCACCCCGCCCGCCCCGACATTTGCGCCGCAGGTCACCATCCTCCTCACCCTCGCCGCCAGCGTCGAACGGATGGCCACCGACACCGTCCTCGGCGCCGCGATCAAGGACGCCGCGCAGATCTCGGATGCAAGGGCAAAGAACGGCGTCGAGACGCTGTACTCGGTGCTGCGAGGCGTGCTCGTCGACAGAGCAGCAGGCCAAGCAGCCGGCAGCCGCGGTGGTGGCAGCGCCGGTGGTGATGGAGTGTCGTCTGACGGCGGCGAGAGGAGCAGCAAGCGGCGCAAGCTTGCTTCCGGCTCCGTGTCGCTGCCCATGCCGTCCGCCGACGACACGGCGAAACCTCCCCGGCCTGCGACTGACCAAGCAAAGCCGCGCCAACGACCCTCCAAGCACCGTCGTGACCAGCTGCGAAAGGCACGCCTCGCTGCGGCGTCGTCGGCCGGCAAGACGACGACGCCACGTTGCCCGAACCAACTGGGCAGCCTGCCGGACACGATCCCGGATCCTCTGGCTCCACGACGTCGACGCAGCGCCGCTGTACCCACGACCGCCAGAGAACGGACGCGGAAGAGAAAAACCCCGACTCCGCTTTCGTTTTCCGAGGCCTCGGAGGCGTTCGACCCCAAGCGCGCCTTGAAAGCCGCTCGCAAGTTCTTTGCCAAGCCCGTCGCTCCTCCGCCCCTGTCGTCGCCGTCGGGCGGCGGAATAGACCCAGGTGGTGACGACGACGACGACGACCTGGGAGAGGCAATCGCTCGTTAGGGCCTCTATCTGCCTGTCTAGCCAAACCGTGTATTTGTACATCGCCCGTCCGCAACACTACGTTCTGCGCCCAATCCACCTCGACTGCTTGCCTGACCGCCCCGCCCCTCTACTCGGTCGCCGCGATTGCCGCCGCCCTACTGCGGCACGATCGGGACCGTGGCGCTTTGCTGCCGCTCCAGCGCGGCCACCGTTAGACTCACCTCGCTCCCCACGCCCCGCAGCAACGTGCCGCCGATGCGCGCCTGCACCTCGCGCACCACGCCGCGGCAGAAGTCGAGGTAGGCCTGCCTCTCCTTTGCCTCTCCCGGCGTGTCCTCGAGGTAGAGGCGCAGCGCCGATAGCAGCGCAGAGAGGCACGCGAACAGCATCGGACGCCGCCTCGCCGCTTCGGCGTCGGTGCGCTCGGCGTCGGCCGAAATATTGGCCAGCGTCGTCGCGACCAGATCGGCCCGGATCGCCTGGAAGTCTTGCAGCCTGAGCGCCGGCTCACCTGCGTCGGCGTCGTCGCTCAGACTGGTCGGGTGGACCGATGCCGCAGCTGACGATGCAGAGCCGTCGAGCAGCTTGTCCTTCCAGCCCCGGCACAGGACGCTACCCGAGGCCACCTTGCAGAGCGCGACGGTGAAATTGTGCTGGACGCTCAGCACCCTCGCCACGGCCGAGTGACACCACATGGCCATGAACTCGGCCTCGTGCTCGCCAAACGCGGCCGGGTCCAGGACCAGCACGTTGAGCAGGAAGCGCAGCCCCACGTCGCGCTTGCCGACCGGATCGTCGATGCGCTTCCACGACTCGTTGCCGTACGTCAGATAGCTCGTCCAGCTCCGAAGCCCATTCTGAATCAGCACGTGTGCGCACCCGGCCCAGCAGTCGACGACGGCCTCGAGGTACCGGCGCCGCTCGGCGTCCTTGACGATCCGGTCGAGGCGATTGCGCCGGTCGCTCCTGCCTCCCTCGGCCACGGCCGTCAGGCGTTCCGTGACTCCGAGCGAGATGACAAGGCCCTCGGCGCGACGGTCTGGATGGTAGATGTTCGATACCAGGCGGAAGAGGGCCGGCGAGATGACGTCGATCGCGTAGTCGGCGAACTCCCTGTCCATGGCCTTGATCGACGTCGATGGCGATGGCGGTGGGGCCGCCGCTTCGACCGTTGGACCATCGCCGGCCGGCTGCGCGCCCAGCAGGTTGTCCAGGGTCGGATCGTCAAAGTCGAATCCGGCGTCGTCAAAGAGGTCGGCAAAGCTGTCCTGGCTCTCGTTTGAGGTGGCCGGGGCGTGCTTGCCCGTGCTGGCCCGGCTGGCAACCGCCCGGTTCCGCTGCAGCAGAAACGACTGGATGCACTTTAGCGCCTCGTGGCCGATGACGGGATCGATGGCGAGCTGGGCCTCGAGGATGTCCTTTGTCCAGGCTGAAAGGCGGCGGGGTGGAGCAAGTTGTGCGAAGGGTCAGCCAGCACATCTGGGACGATCTCGGGTCGGACGGTCGGCGACGAGGCGCCGCGCGGCGCACCTAGACACTCACAGGTGTGCAGCAGCTTAAGGTCTGGGTAGACGGGCTGCGCCAGCTCGACATCGTCGTGCCTCGACAGTGTCGGGTGCTCGATGACGTGCTGCAGCGACCGCAGGACGGCCACAATCAGCCGCGCCACCTCGCTCTGGCGCCGGACCGCCACCTGCCTGGCACGGGCCTCTTGGAACATGGGCGCCAGCGGCGCAGCGCCGGGTGGCCGCCGGCTCTGCGTGCCCGTCGTCTTCTCGAGCGCCTCGTACTCCTTCATCATCAGAGTCGCCACCTCGCCAAACCACGCCGAGATGGGCGAGACGTCGAGGCGATGGTGACGGAAGATGGCGGCAGCGTACATCATGGCGCGCACGCAGGCCACCTGCGACGCGAAATCGGCCTGCCGGAACGGAAGGAAGCTCTTGATCTGACGGAGCCGCTGCGCCGCCTGGCTCGGCGCGACGAAGAGGAAGAGCATCACGACGGCGTAGTGGTTGAACAGCATCGACCGCTGGCCCGACGTTGGCACGTCGTCGCGCGTGAAGGCCATGGTGCGCACAGGCGAGATGCGCGAAAAGAGGCGCGACACCTTGCGGTCCCCGTCCCTCTGGTCCCTGGCCGAAGCGCGCAGATCCCGGCTGGCCCGAGCGACGAGCTTGACAAAGACGTGGAAGCACGAGTCGTCGCGCTCCGCCGGTTGGTACAGCGCGAGCTCGTCGAAATCCCGGAGGAAGCGCGGAAAGTCGTGGTCACTCTCGCTCGGCAGGTCGGTCAGCCGGTGGCTGTCGAAGATGTCGAAGAGCCGGGAGAGGGCGAGGTCGGCGCCCTCCATCTTCCAGCCCCACGCCGCGCTGAGGTCCAGGCAGCGGTGCAGAACCACCCGCACGTACCTGTCCCGCTTGTTGAGCGCCGAGAGCGACATCGAAGACTCGACGGCGGCGTCGAAGCGGAGCCGCACCGCCGCCAACGCTCTGGCGACCACCGGCCAGTGCTCGCCGAGATGGCCGATCGAGTGCGCGGTGCCCGTCGATGGCGAGACGTGCGACAGGGCGCTGATGCCGAAGATGCAGTACCACGTGCTCTCGGCCGCGATGATCGAGCTCCTGCGGGGATCGAGGCCTTGCCACTGCGTCAGGGCCGCCTCGAAGACCGACCAAAAGGAGAGCGGCACGCCACCCATGTCCTCCTTGCCGGCCCGATCCAGCAGGTGGATGAGGCAGACCCACATCTCGGCAGACGTGTCGGCCAGCTTCGTCACCGCGGCCGGCCGAGGAGCGCCGCCGTCGTCCACGCCCGGGTCGCTCACCAGAGCATCCGCAATGGTCTTAACCGCGCGCATGGTCCTGTTGAGGCCGTGCCGAAGGAGCAGGAGCATGAGCAGCTTGCTGCTGTTGGCCAATTCCTGAAAGGTAGGGACCTCGTGGCCGTCGAGGGCCAGCGCGGCTTGATCCTGGCCGCATGCTGCGAGCATCCTCCAGCACAGCTCCACGCGGAACCAGAGCAAGCGGAGCAGCGGCTCAAGCGGTGCATCTGCCCTCTTGCGAAGACGCTGGAGGAGCAGATCGACCTGGTGGATGATGGCCCGATAGAAGCGGAAGACCTGCGGCCCGAGCTCGGGCTGGAGCGCTTCGGCCGTCAGCTTGAGGCAGATGAAGCGCGAGGCCTCTTCTAATCCGCCCCTGCGCCGCGCCGCGTCGCCCGAGGGCTCGTCTGGTGCGTCTCCTCCCTCGCGTCGAGCGAGCTCACCCTCTTCGCTCAGCGCTTCGAACAGCGCGGGCAGCGAAGCAAGCACCTCCTCTGCCGACATCATGGCCGTGAGCTCGATGCCGCCGATCCGTACACCGAGGCGGGTCCAGTTCGGCGGCAAAGCGCTCTCGGCCGCATCGAGATACTCTGGCAGATGCAGCAGCTCGTGAAGCCGCCCACGGCCGAGGAAGGTCTCGTCGGCGAAGCTCAGCCCTACAGGCGGGGGCCGTATGCCAAAGTCGAGCCGAAGCCCCTCGTGGTCGTCCCACGCATCTGCCTCGATCCTCTGTGCGTCCAGCTTGTCGGCCGCCGCCGCGGGCCGTGAGCTCGGAGAGGACGCGCCGTTCGCCCCTGCCGATCGCGCATCCGATCCAGGTGACTTGGTCTGCGGCATCACCCGCGCTTGCAAGTATCCTGGTCGCGGCACCGGCACCGGTGACTGAGACGGATCGTCGAGGTGGCGGAGCGGCGATGGGCTGTGTGCGAGGGCATTATTGGAGACGCGACCACGAGCAACGTGCGGGCTCTCCAAGGCCGTTCGCTGAGGGGCCTTGCCCTCCGGCGATATGCCGACTTCGCGCGCCCTCCTCTGCTGCGGCGCCACCGCTCCATCAGCCGCGCCTTCGTCCCTTTGAATCGCGGGGGCGCGCTGGGGAGATGAGCGTGCAGCTGCAGGCGAGGGTCCCAGCATCGAAAAGAACCCGTCTTCCGAGTCGTCATCCAATCCAGGCGAAACCTGGAAGTCGAACAGCACATCGTCGTTGACAAGGTCCAGCCGCGGTCTGGTCCTGGGCTTGACGACGGCAGGGTTGGCAGGCCTGGCGGCCGGACCGCGATGCGTGCTGCGGGTCCTGCCTACCCTAGGATCGGCCTTCCGGCGCTTCCTCTTGAGCCCGGATGTGGAAACAGCTTTGGCGTCAGAGGTCGGTCGTTGTCCCCCGTGACTGCCAGGGGCGAGCACGTCTCCCGGTCCCGCCGCCTCGAGGTTCCCAGAGACGAAAGCATCGAGGCGATGCTGTTTCGGCGACCGGCGCGCCTGAGTTACGCCGCGCCGTGCCTTCTTCTGGCGCTTGCCCCCACCGTCGGTGCGACTGAGCATGCGATCGATGGCATCGGCCTCTCGAGCTTGCTTTGGGCGGCGCCGATCCGCCCATAGCCGTAGCATCTCGACCTCTGAGTCTGAGTCGCTACAAGCCGACCCGTCCTGGGACGAAGCGGAGGCCTGTCCACTTTCAGACTCCGAGTCGGCAGGGAAGAGCTCGAACCGTCTGTCGCGGTCGCCCTCTCCCGGAGAATGATGCCGCATCCTCTTTCTCGCCTGGCCTGGGCGGAGCTCTGCGGCGTCGAGCGGGCTCGTCGACGGTGTGGATCGGGCCGCTGGGACAGTGGCGTCGCCATCCTCTTCTTGGCTCTGCTCGCTCGCCGTCGGCGTCGAGGAAATGTGACCATCCGAGTGGTAAGCCTTGCCGTGCCGCATGGCACGGAGGTCCTCGATGTGCTTCCGCGCCATGCCAGCGGGCATCATCTTCTTGAGCTGACGGAACCGGCGCTCGTAGTCGGTGCTGTCGCTGTCGGAAGCGACCCCTTCGTTCGCACGACGCCGGCCTCGCCTGCTTCGTGCCTTGCTGCTGGCCGTCGGCCCCGCCGGCATGTCCTCGTCGGCCGAAGAGTCCAGGTAGTGGACAGCTGCGACTGAGCCCGAGCCGGGCACGCGCTCTTCTGCCGGGGTCGCTGCTGATGGAGGGGCTTGCGTGGAGTCGACTCCAGGCGGGCCGGGGTCGGTGTCGGAGCTGACGAGGTCAATGGGCTTGGATAGCGAGCGTAGCCGTCGGTGCTTGCGCGGGGCCAGGACGGGTGACGAAGAGCCGGACGAAGAGCCGCTGCGCGATCGAGCCCGTGCCTGCTGCGGAGTGTCTGCGACTGGAGCGATAGTCGGCCCAACCTTCGCCTTGCCTGCACCACGCCCGGCATACGTTCTTGTAGCCGGCGCGGCAGCCTTGCCGGCACGGGGAGGCCCGTCCTTGGAGCCGGACGACCTCGCAGGTGGCGCGATGGTCTCCTCTGCCTCCGTCTCAGAGTCTGACGACAGCCGGAGGCGCGTCGAGGGCCCCCATGTTGCCTTTGCCCTTTCAGCTGATGTTGTTGGGCCCGCGATCTTCGACCTTGAAGTTGATGGTGCCGCTCCGGTTTGCGCATCTCCTCTTGACGCAGCCTCGGCGACTTGGCCTCGATCACCCGCCCTTGGAGAATCTCGCCGCCGGCCCGTAGCTGACTGCGCTCGCCTCTTCTTCTCCCTCTCCTCTTCTCTGGCCCAGCTCTCCTCTTGCGCCTCGTCTTCCGGGTCCGGCTCGAGCCACTGGCTCTGACTCTCGCCTGCCTCGGCCGCCGCGCGAGCTGCTTCTTCGCTGAGCCTCTTCTTTTCCTGCCTGGCCCACTCTCGCTGGCTGACCACCGCGTCCTCCCAGTTGTTCCGGACGAGCGTGCGCTGATACCGTATGGCCTCGAGCGTGTACGGATTGAGCTGCTGCGCCTTCCGTGCGCGCAGGTTGCGCCTCGGTGGTGAGGGCGGGAGCATGGCAGCCGCCCTGGCCACAGCCTCGTCATCTGCCGAGGCAGGCCTCTGCGCAGTGGTCGAGGAAGCAGAGGAGGAGATAGGTGCAGGTCGGGCCGAATGCTCGAGCTCCACAGCTGGCGGAGCGGGCGGTGTCGGTGTCCGCACCTCGCGACTGGGGCCGGACGGCGTCCCCAGCAGAACTTGGGATACGGCAGCGAAGTTGCCGGAGAAGCTCCGCGGCGCAGCACCAGCAGCAGGACCCTCAACAGCGAGTTCGGGTGACGCTAAAGTCCTCAAAACGGGCCGGGGCGGTTCCGACCCAGAGCCTGGCGCAGAGCGCTCGCGGGAAAATTGGTGGGGCAGGACCACCTGTGATGCCTCAGCCTCTGCTTCGTCCTGCGCCGAGGAGAGGTCCGAGTCAGAATCGACGAACAGCGGCAGCAGCGGAGCGGTCGGACCAGCGCATGACAGCGGCGCGGGGCTCTGGCCGGGGAGAGGGTCAAGCTGGCGTGTCGTCGGTTGCTGCAGCGAGAGCGGTGATGCCTGTCGAAGTGGCGACATCGCATCGGAGTCGACTTCACGACGGGGGAGAGAGCAGCCCTCTGGCGACGGAAACGGCAGAGGTAGGGTGAGGAACGACTCGGCGTCCTCGCCTCCGACGGAGTCTGGTTGGAGCGATTCGAGACGCAGTGGGGATAGGCAGGGCGAAGGATGCGGCGATCCCGCAGCCCTTGAGGACGTGCGACGAGGAGATGGCTCCGATGGGTGTTGCGGCGCGTCTGCGAGGGCTAATGGAAGAGATGGCGTCCCGGGATCGCAGTCCGCACCCTCTGACTGCAGCATCGGCGGAAGTGGTGGTGTGGCGGGCATCGGCGATGCTGGGGGTGGCGTCGGCCGAGTCTCGTCGACCGCCTCGACTGCTAGCAGCAAAGGGGCCATCGGTGAGGCCGGGGGGACGTCGGTGGCAACGTCGTCGACATCGTGCTGGGCTGGCAGAGGCGCCTGCGTTGGCAAGGATGTGACAGGATGCGGCAGTGCGCCTTCTGGCGACATGCAGACGACGTCGATGCCATCCTTTTGGCTTCCCTTGGCCGGCGTGGTCCTCGTGCGCTCCTGTCCCGGGCTCGGTGCGCCATTCTCGTCGTGGGAATCTGGACCCGCCGGTGGACGGAACTGATCGACTCGCTCGGGGATGAAGGTGGCTGCGTCGGGGATCGCCGCTGCCCATGTCGGATGGGCAGAGACAGCAGCCAGTGTCTGGTTGCGCTCGGTCGAGCTGTAGGCTGCCGGGAAGCGGGGAACGTCGATGGTTCGTGGAGAAGACGGTGCTGACCTTGGCCGCTGCGATGCCGCTGCCGTAGGGCGAAACGCGTGCGCGCGAGCTGCCGATGGGGAGAGGGACTCCTGGCTCCTGCCACGCCTGAGGCCACGCATACGGGCGGTATTGGACGTGCTGGCTTCATGTTTGCGGGCGTGCGTCGCCGGGTCCATGAGAGGATGCGTCGTGGCGGAGGCGGCGGGTCGGTGTGGGCTGCCAGGTAGCGGGGTGCTTCGACGCTGGCATCTGCCGAAAGCAAGCCGTGTGGGCCGACGTAGAAGCTGGCGCAGACGGCGGCAATGAGAATCAGGGCGGGTAGTAGTGGTGGTGAGGTCGGCGATGGAAGTCTGTCGCAGCGTTTGAGGACGTCGCCGTGGAAAGGTAGAGTGGCGTTGGTCGGGCGTCAGGGCGCAGTGGAGCTGCCGCCAGCCCGCCAAAGCCCGCCCCAACTTCGTCTACGCGACGCGTTCATCCGAGACCCTGGCAGACCGCACCGGCGCCCTGACCTGGCTCCACCTCATCAGGGCCGCTCTGCAGCCATGCCACTCCAGCATTCGTCGCCCTGTGCTGTCCCCAATAGGTCAGCCTTGAGGAGATGAAGGGGATAGGCCTGCCAGGTCAACATTGACATGACCTCGAAACGCGCATTGCTTGGCAGACTGCGGAAGCAGGAGCCACTTCCAACTGCTGTCTTGAGGTCACGCCGTGCACTGTATCTCGCTCTCTCCGTCACCTTTGCATCCCTGAGGTTCAGCGCTATCGAGGATGCAAGATTGATGGTCCCTTGCACAGAGCAACATGGAGATGCAGTGAAAAGTGGCAAACAGCGCGTCAAGAACGCCCCTCTACCTGCTGTGCGAGCCTCCGCCCCTTCCCCCATCCTCGCCGCCGCCACAAGCGACCGCGCAGAGCCCTGCCCTCCCGCAGCCACCGTCCTCTCAGGGCAGGCCGCTCAGTGACCGCGTCGGCAGCGGTGGCGGCACAGGCGGCGGCTTGGGCTTGCCCTTGACCTTGCTCAGGAATGCCGAACTCGACGGGACCGGCGGCGGAGGTGGCCGACTGCTGCTGCCCGCGCCGGTGCTGACGCCGGTGCCACTCGACGACGCCGACGACGACGCCATGGGAAACGACGACGAGCCATTGCCCGTCGCCCTGCGCCCCGCCTCGTCAGCATCGCCCGCAAAGTTGCGGTACTCGCGGTTGCCGTTGGCAAACGGCAGGCTGCGCGTCCATCCGCCGCCGCTGTTGCTGCCCACCGTGTCGCCCCTCCGCCGCCCGCCACCCGTCAGCGCTGCCTCATCGTCGTGGTCGTCGGCGTCGTCGTCGGTATGGTGGTGGAACTGGCCCGTGCTCAGACCCGTCCCCTGCGGCGAGAGCATGCCGGCGCCCCCGCCCGAAAACGGATCGCCGCCGTCAGAGTAGGCGCTCAGGCCCGTGTGGTTGACGTCGAGGTGCGGCGTGACGTGACTGGCCACACCGAGGTAATTGGCGTCCATGCCCAGCCCGCTCTCG